CAGCTCTTGCTAAAAAGCTTGGTTGGGTAGAAAATGAATAGCCATTCATCAAAAAAAAAAAAAAGTAACTGTTCAGATCTCATTTTCCAAGGAAAAATACCTTGGGTTTAGAGCCAGAAAATTTTGGGTCCCAGATTCAGTTCTGTCCCAAACTCGGGTCCATCATTTGGTATCAGTTTCCTGCTTGCTAATGAGAGGCACTGACTCTCGCCCCCAGCTCTCACATCTGTCCATCAATACCGGCCACAGCAGTGCTCTGGGTCAAGTGCGAATCCTCATTCTCATCTGGTTATAAATAAACTTGGGGGGGGGGGGATAAGACCACCTGTATATCCATCCTATTCTATCAGAACGCATGCAATCACAGCTCACCTATGACTTAAACACGTTCTCCTATGAAGGCGAACAGCCTTCTGGTAAAATAGCTAGCTAGCTGGCACCTACTTTTCATGGCACATTTCACTGAAGTCCTTGCTTGCGAGAGCAAAGCTGAAGCAGGCAGGGCCCCTGCCACCATTCGAGTGCGTGAGCAGTGGCATCCCCACTCTTGGGAAGGCGATCTTGAGCCATCGGTGTCACCTAGGGGCTCCTCTGCTGACTGGCAGGACAAGGAGCTGCACTTTGCTTAGACCCCACTGCCTGCTGAGGTCTCTAACTGGCAGCCTCATAACAAGCTGCCAGGTCAGTGGCCTTAGACTCCTCACTTCACAGTCGACAAACCGAAGCTTGCAGAGGCGAAATGACGCGATTCAGACCCAGGTGCTTGCTAACTGCACAGACGGGTGAGCCAAGCAGCTCTGAGCTCAGAAACAGCTGAGGGTGGGCTGGGAATTCTGGCTGGGCCGAGGCCCCCAAGGAGAGCTGGGGGAGTCACTGGGTAGTCAGCATGGAGGCAAATACGTGCCCCACGAGAAGGAGGAGCTGGCTTCTCCCCTCTCCAGGGTCTCCTGTTGCTCCCTCCGTAAAGGACGATAGGGAAGCTGGGCTATGGCAGCGGATGTTAAAGGGCCATGGGGGGCAGTAGGGTGGCTGGGGAACAGACTGGAGACTGAGGCTGAGGCCCAGAGGCAGGAATGCAGTGGGGCCAGAAAGGCAGAACTCTAGAGAGATTCTGTACATTTACTGGAGAGGTGCGCACAGATGAGATACGCAAGTATTACGTATATATGTATCTATCTCAAAAAGCTTATGGAAGATCAATTCAAAGATAAGGTTATTTTGGTGCAAAAAAATTAAGCACATGCATACAAGGGTTTTTCATGAAAAATGTGCATTACGAAAACCTATGTGGAGATTTTAAAGAATGTACCAAAATAAACTTACCTTTAAATACTGTTTCTCCACATATCTGCCACCGTGTGTGTGTGTGTGTGTGTGTGTGTCCATGTGCTGTCAGAGCACCGTGCGGGAACACACAGGCTGCCTGCAGCTTTCCCAGCAGAGGCACACGGGCATGGAGCTGAGAATTAACACATGCACTCAGGAGCCACGGCTCCAGTCCCTCCTGCTGCTCAGTACCCACCAGACCCTCACCGCATGCCTATAGCTCCGCCGGACAGAGGCCCCCACCCAGCTGTGTGTCCTCGCACTTGTCACAAGCCCTCTGAGCCTCCATTCTCTTATCTGCCAAAGAGGAAATCACTCATCCCAGACAATGGAACTCCCAGCTAGGCAACACTTTTACCTCTACTTTACCCGTGGAACACAGATGACAGCCCACCTCATCCTCAAAACAGCCCTTGAGCCTGGAGAAGGAAACTGAGGCACGGAGTTGTCCAGGGTCCTGGGCACAGCAGAGATTTGGCTGACAATCTGGGTCCAGCCGCCCGCTCTGAGCCACTGGGTCAAGGCGCCGCATGCGGAAGAGAACGCCCTTGGGTATTGAACGGGGCTCTTCTTGCTCTCGGCGGAGGACGCAAAGTCAGGCTCTCAGGCTGCGGGGCGCCCTGGACCTGGGGTCTGCGGGGCGCCCTGGGCCTGGGGTCTGCGGCCTGCTGTCCCGGAGAAGGCGGTGTGGGAGCGCACGGCGCCCGCCCGCGCCCCTTCCAGCGCGCCACTGCCTCGCTGAGCTCTCATTCAAGTGGCCGCGTGTGCCTCGGCTGCCAGGAGCGGGTTTGTCTGTCTCCTGGAGACAGCGGTTGTCAAGCCCCTCGAGCGCAGCTAGCACGTCAAAAATAGCAGCGCCGGCAGACCGCGCGGCTGCAATTTCCTCTAGAAATGTGGCCTCCCTTCTCTGTTGAGAGCCGGGGCCTGTCTGCGCTCCTTGCAGCACCCCCCACCCCGGGGCAGGGGCGCCTGCGCTCGGGCGTGCGTTCTAGGAGCAGGCGGGCAAGGAGCCTGCGATGGGGGCCAGGAAAGTCCTCGTGAACAAGAGTAACGCCGGGTGCGTGTATGATAGCTGCCATTCGCTCCAGCAGGGCTAAACCCCACCGAGGTCAGGGGCAGCCAAGATCAGAGCTGCGCCCTCGAGGCTGTACTGCAAGGCGCCTTCTGCTCTTTTCTTCCGGAAACCGGGCAGTCGAGATCCTGCTGGGATAACTGCCAACAGTGGGCCCTGGCAGGCTGCCACTCCCTTGTAGGTGCCGCGGGAAACATGGGCATGGGCACCAAGAAGGGACAAAGAGCAGGTGCAATACCCTTCCGAGTTTCAGGCAAAGGGATTGGAAAAACATGACAGCTTCCAGCCCACGGGGACCACAAGCCAGAAGGGGGAAGCGGCTCATCGGGCGACCCGGGCCCATCTGTCTTTATTCCCAGGGGGCTGTGTCTGGAAAGATTCCATCTCTGCCAAATCTCCAAGCTCCAGACCTGATTCTGCCACAAGGTATCTGTGCACGCTGAGGCAGCCTGAGACAGGAAATCCCTCTGCCCCCTCCCACAGACACACACACACTGGAAAGAATAATAGAAATATAAAAAAGAAAGAAGATAAGGCTGGTTTTCCTCTTCCAAGCAACCACAGCTCGCTGGAACTGGACCACGGGATCACATTCTCCTGCCTGTAGCAGCAGCGTGCAGTCAAATCCAATCGGCCAGCACAGCCATTCCATCATGAGGATAGCATTCCTGGGGACTCTGTGTAGTAGAGACCGGGACAGCCGAAACCCAGCCCGCAGCAAGCCTCCTCAGTGGACACAACGGCAGGCAGGAAGGTGTCACCTGACGCAGAGCCCCCAGGGGAGAGAGGGGACCCCTGGACGCCAGGCAAGTGAGAGCATGAGAGGGGCCAAGTCTGCCTGGCAAGAGACAGAAGAGCAAGGCCCACAAAGGCTGTCACCTCCCATTTCTTTGTTTTCCCAAAGCACCAAGGCTGCTATTGAGGGGAGGCTGGAAGGGGCGCAGGGAAAACAAAACCTCTGCTCCTGTGCCATTTCGTAAGGAATTCTGAGTTTACAGGTGCAGGCATCAGGGGGGCTTAGTGTTTGGGCAGAGGAGGAGAAGTGAGAATTTTTTTTTTCCAGCCAATTTTCAAGCCCCTTGGGCAAGCATCCTGCGCTGGCCCTGTATGATAAATATCGACCGCCATCCGTGTCATAGTCCATACATGCTGACCGTGCTCTGCAGTTCCCCAGCCATGACTCGGTCAGCTTCCGAGCAAGAGAAACATGTGAGTCTCACAATTGTAGATTGATGATCAGAATTAAATGAAAACACACACCCACGTCAGATCTGAGCACTGTACGTGAGCAGCAAGAAACCACTGCGTGCAAGCTCTCAGATAGTCAGCCTGGGCTGTGTGCAGAAATCTAACCTCGTGACGTACAAAGCCCAGCCGTGCTCCCGGCCCCGATGGGAAATCGCCAAGTTATTACACTCACAGTGCTTTGTTTTTCACAATTCAGTGGTTTTTTAGGTTAATACTTAGAGTGGTACCACTCTCACCCCAACTCAGCTTCAGAACACATCTGGGCACCTCCCAGAAGTTCTCCGGGGCCAGCTGACCCGCACAGGTTTCAGCCCCGTGGAACCCCTCGGGCCGACCTGGTGTCCTGACGCAGGCCAGGGCAGGGGGCGGGGGACCGGGGTGGGGGTGCCCTAAGCACGTTTCACCTCCAGCAAGGAGACGCCACAGGCCCTCTGGGGACCGGTGATGAATCCTGATCCACCGTGTCAAGAGCGCCTCCTGCACCTGACGGGGCTGGGACCTGTGTCCTTTCCTTTTGTTCTGCCTTCGTGCAGAAGACAGCCAGGGAATGAAGGGCAGGGCGAAGCTGAGTTAAGCCTTTCTTTAGGCTCCTGCCAGTTGTATGCCTTCCTTTAAGTCCTTCTATTTTACTGTTCCTTTGTCTCTAACCACTCTGCAAGCCTTTTAAAAGGTGGATGCATTTCCAAGGCTAGACGCACAGTATTTATTTGAAACTTATAGGTGCATATCCTCTCTCTCTCTTTCTCTCTCTCTCTCCCCCCCTTCTTTCTCTCTCTCTCCCCACCACACCCCTTTTATCCTTGCAGGCTCAGAAAAATTCAGGGAAACATTTTTCTAAACTCACAACAATCTCATCTTGCGAAAGGGACGGATCCCGAGACACTAGGGGAGGGGATGCTGCAGCTGCAGGTCACCCCTGAGCAAATGCCCTGGACCCCAGGCGTCCTGCAGTGCAGTGTGTGATGTGACATCCACAGAAACGCAGGAGGGGTCCTGGCCACCAGACAGCTGCAGAGAGGGAGAGAGACAGAGACATGCACAGAAAGAAGAGGCGGCTCAAACTTCAAGTAGGGGGGAGACAAAAAGGAAGGGAATCAGAGCCAGAGAAAGAACAGCAGAGAAACTGAGAATGAAAAGGGAGAGATGGGAAGAAAGGTGGGGGTAGCACCGAGAGACAGGAGAAACCGAGCAACGGGACTCAAAGGCAAACGCACAGGTGGCCTCCAAGGAAAGGGAAACCCAAAGCTTGTTTGCTCCAAATTCAGGGGCTCTCAGCCCCCGCCTCCCCACCCGCACCCAGCCCCGGTGCTGCCTGGGCTGAGCCAGGGAGGAAACTGCCCACAGCAGAGCCTACCTCAGATGCAGAGCTGGCCAGCTGGCCCTCGTCCCTCCCTGGGGACACGCAGGCAGCAGGAACACCCCTGGCCCCAGGCTGGGGCTGGCTGTTCCAGGGAGTCTCTGGGGAGCTCCTGCCGGCTGGAGTCAGGTGTAACCACGGCGTGGACCCCACTTCTCCTGGCAGCTGGGAACCGCCACCCCAGCTGTCGCAGCATCTCACAGTGCACGAGATCCACAACACGAGGCTCGGGGTCGGAGAGTGCTAGTCGGACACAGCCCTGTGCAGAAACCAGAGCCGGCCACAGCCTCTTAGTTCTCCATCAAGGTCGTAAGAAGGACCACCGCAGAGGTTCCTCCCAGGAGCCAGGCTGCGCCCTGGGAGCAGGAAGCGTCGCTTCTGTGTGTCCTGGGGTGGGAAGAGCCTTGCAGTGCGGAGGCCCAGCCTGGCTGCCGCTGCGGGAATATGCCATCCTCTCGTAGGGCTCCCTGGTCATTTTGACAATCGTGGCATCGCTGTTGGCTTAACCGTGGGTGGAGTCGCTTAGCGCTCGAATTAGCAAGAGCCCAGGGGAAGATGAAGCAGCTTCAGTAACTGAGTAGGGAAACCAGAAAGACAGGACCAGGGAGGGAATTTGGGGGACCTGCTTCTTCCTTGTTCCCCAAAGGTCCAGTCCCTGTCCCACCATGACTCAGCCTCTAGACCAATTTGCAGGAGGTGCGCCTGTTTGAGAAGCCAGGAGTCTGCACGCCGTTCACCCTTGATGCTCAAAGCAGAAGACAGAGCGAATCGGCTGGAAGGTTGCTACAGCAACCGGCATCCCTGGAGAGCCCAGCTCTCCACAAACCTTTTACGTTCAGGCTTGCTCTGACTTGCAAAGGAAAGGCTGTCTTAGGAGTGGTGCTGTGAATGATCACATACACAGAGAGAGAAACAGGTGCGCTTGCCCCGACATTACCCTCGTGCCTCTGGGGCAGGCCCTTCCCGGCATTCCCCAAATAGCCTTAGCAAGTGCAGAGATCTGGGAAACCAGCACTTGGAGCAAGCTTCTGATTCCGCAGGCGCTCCATCTCCTGCTGTAGTTCAAGTGTGCAGAAGCCACACTCCCAGGCAGGGTGAGCTCTGGCCAGACGGGGAGGGACCAAAAGAAGGACTCTGAGGAGAACCGTCCTCTTCAAAGGCTAATAGAAAAGACCAAAGCCATGGAGGAACTCAGGGAACTAATGATTCACAACAGCCCACCCCTGGGCTTTGGATCCTGGCAGGAAGTCTGGGAGAAGGCAGTGAGATGAACTAAAAATCAAATCAGTTCCTGAAATTCACACATTTGCATAGCATCACCCCCCCCCCGGGCTCCCCAGAGGAGTCTGCTGACATTCCCCACCAGTGGGGGCTGAGGGGGGGGGAGATGTTAATGTGCCCATCTAATGGGTGTGGAAACTGAGGCACCACGAGAGACTGAGGTGTCCAAACTAGCCGGAAAACCAGATGACAAAAACAGACTTGGGCTTGGTGCTCACAAGAGCCGCACTGTCTTGCCACAAACCCTAAAGGCTGTCCTTTCTAAGTTGCACCTCGAGAAATTGTTCTTTCAAATTCTCATCCAAAAGTCTTAGAGCATAGAAATCAAATTAAAAATGTGCTCACAGTCCTTTTGTTCTCAGAACTGCACCTGGGAGAGCTCAGCACAGTACATCACGGTTTGTCAAAGGCAAAAACACGAATGGCAATGTTCCTGAGGGGGAGATAAGGGGCAGGGGGCAGGCGTGACGGGTGGCAGTAGCTTCACAATGGAAGAAGATGGCTCAGTCCAGGTGGCAACCCCACCCGGCTTCCTCACCAGTAAGAGCAGGCTGGATGCAGCTCCAATTGCCCAAGCAGGCGAATGTTTGCTGGACTCAGAGAAGAAAAAAAAAGCCTCTAACTGTAATGTTGTCCACCAAAGAATAATGATTGCTTCTTACTCTAAACCATGTATTTCACTGCCCATAAAAAGGGAAGAAATACATGCTGGCATCCAATGTGTGCTTTTACCTGTCTGCAGGTTGAAGCTGGGCTTGCTTTAGAAAACCCACAACTGCAACCTTCAGCCAGATGCCCCGGGAGGAACATGAAGGGCTAGAGAGAGAGAGTTGGAGGAAACCAGGGGGGAAAGGCTGCTATCTGCAATGGTGTACGTCTCCGTCCTTCCGAGAAGAGCACATCTGTTTAAGTGGCACTTGGCTTCAGACATGTGGTCAAGTCACACACTGGACTACGCCGCCATTTCCTCTGGCTACCTGGTTCCCCTTCTCCAGCCCCTCTGCACAGGGAGGCACTTGCACAAAAAGAGTGTTTAGCTCCAAGAGAGAGAACCTTCCTTTCTGAACACTGGAGACGGTCAGGGGAGCTGAGTGGATGCACCTGCAGGAATCCATCGGCCCCTGTGGTCCAGAACTAACCCTCACACCCTCCAGAAGGTGCAGTTAATTGTATTTTCTCTAATTGCACCCAAGATCAGACATGAGTGGCGGATTTTGAGGCTGTGGAACTGAAGACTCTCCCAGGGATCTTCTGTAGATGTGACAGGACACAGGACTGAAACAGCAAGCTGAGACCCACTCCTGCACTCCAGCTTCTCCCCATTACCAAGCAGCACTCAGACGGGTGCCTGCCCCAAAGCAAAGGAGAGAGCTGGGGCCCAAGGGTGGCTGGTTTCTGTCCAGTTGACACTGCTGTTCCTAGAGATATTACAAGTCCCAGATGTGAAAAATCAGTCTCGAGGGGCAGAAATGTACACTTCATCCATGGGACGACAGAGGCTGGGCATGACCGGGTGGCACCGTCGGAATTTCAAAACGTCACTTAGGTGGGTAAACCTTGACCGCTGCAGGGACCGTCAAGCCTGGCAGTCCAGATGCTTATCTGGCCCTGGACATCAAGTACCAGGTACAGGGGAGGGAGTCAGGAAGTCAAGAGGAGCTAGTGGGAGGGTCGTTGTGGCAATGAGAAGGAAGCCCAAGAGATTGCTCAGTGCTCAGCGTCTCCTGCAGGCTCTGCCCGCCTGTCAGACCTCGGTGAGCATCCTTTTCTCGGCAAACGCCCGGTGTGGAGTGGGAAGGTAGCTGGGCCTCCGTTCCCGGGTGGCCTCGGAGAAGTCAGGCTTGCCAAGTCCATTGTCAGTGGCCTTCAGGTCCGGCGCAGGCTGCCCACAAGTGACGTGGGTATACTGGCCCTGCTCCTCTTGCTCCGTCTCCCGGTGGTAGAAGTAGTTGAAGTTGGAGACGATGACGGGCACGGGCAGGGCGATGGTGAGGACCCCAGCGATGGCGCACAGGGAGCCCACGATCTTGCCCCCGACCGTCATGGGGTACATGTCCCCGTAGCCCACCGTGGTCATGGTGACCACTGCCCACCAGAAGGCGTCGGGGATGCTGGGGAAAAGTGAGTCATCGTCATCAGCCTCTGCGAAGTAGACGGCGCTGGAGAAGAGGATGACTCCGATGAAGAGGAAGAAGATGAGCAGCCCCAGCTCCCTCATGGAGGCCTGCAGGGTCTTGCCCAGGATCTGCAGCCCCTTGGAGTGGCGGGAGAGCTTGAAGATGCGGAACACGCGCACCAGGCGGATCACTCTGAGGATGGCCAGCGACATGGCCTGCTGGCCGTTCTGCCCGCCTCCGCTGGCCGCCTGCTGCTCCTGCTGCTGCACCAGCTCGGTGCCCAGGGTGATGAAGTAGGGGAAGATGGCCACCAGGTCGATGATGTTCATGATGTTGCGGAAGAAGGCCGGCTTGCTGGGGCAGGCGGAGAAGCGCACCAGGAGCTCGAAAGTGAACCAAACGATGCACAGAGTCTCCACCAGGAAGAAGGGGTCTGTGAAGAAGGAGCCCCCGAGGGCGCTGAGCGAGGCGGAGCCCCCTGTCCCCAGCCCCCCAGCAGTGAGGCCAGGATGAAAGGCATACGACTCATCCTCATCCTCCTCTTCCTCCTGGCTGCCCCTGGAAATCGGGGAGACCCCGCTCACACCACCACCACCACCGTTGCCTGCGCCCCGACCATCCGCGCGGAACTGGGGCAGGGTCTCCAGGCAGAAGATGACGATGGAGATGAGGATGACCAGCACCGAGACGATGGCGATGCCTCTGGCCGGCCCGGAGCTCTCCGGGTACTCGAAGAGCAGCCACACCTGGCGCTGGAAGGGCTGGGAAGGCAGCGGCTTCTCGTCCTCACCTCCCTCGGGCAGGCAGCCCTCGTCCTCCCGGAAGGCGGCCAGGGCTTCGTCGCCCAGCTGGTAGAAGCGGATCTCCTCCAGGAAGATGTCCAGGGGCACGTTGACCGGCCGGCGCAGGCGGCCCCCGGACTGGTAGTAGTACAGGATGGCGTCGAAGCTTGGCCGGTTGCGGTCGAAGAAGTACTCGTTCCTCAGCGGGTCGAAGAAGCGGACCCGGCGGCCCGGGTCCCCAAGCAGCGTGTCCGGGAAGAGCGACAGGGTGCGCAGCTGCGTCTCAAAGCGCAGCCCTGAGATGTTGATCACTAGTCGCTCGCTGCTGCAGCAGCCGCCGCCCCCGCCGGCCTCCGGGAAGTCTCCCGCATCCTGTTGCTCCCGCTCCGGCCCGCGGACCTCCCCCGGCGCCGCCAGCGTCAGGGACTTCTCCGATCTCATGTCCTCTCTCCGCGGTGCGCGCCCCGCCGCTAAGACGGCGCCCGGGACGCAGGCTCTGGAGCGCGGCACCCGCCTCCCCGCTCCCAGCTGCGCCCTGTCTTCAGGGTGGGGCTGGCGGCTGACCTGGCGGCCGGGTGGGTGGGTGAGTCCCGAAGCCTGGCGCCCGCACAGGGGGCTCTGGGGAGGTGATCTGGCCGCGGAGGGTCTGGCTCCGCGCTGCCAGTTACCCGCGCCTCGGTGCGAGAGCCTCCCGGGATGGCTGGAACCGCAAAGACTGGCGCGCGTGAAACTGGCTGCCCGCAAAGACGCGCGCCGTCGCCCCGCGCCGCGCGGGCTCCGGGCTGCCGGACGCCGGGGTCCGCCCTCCGCGCGAGCTAGCTCTTCCCGGCTCCCCCGGCGCTTCTTCCGCAGTCAGGACCCCCGGCAGCAGCTGGTACCAAAGCGCCAGATGCGCCTCCCTCCGGCTCGGCAGAGACTCCCGGCGGGGCTCGGCCTCCGCCCAGCGTCCAGCGCGGGGCTCGGTCTGGCCAAGGTCGCGGCTGCTGCTGCCACGGCTGCCACCTTCTCTCTAGAAGCCGCGCCGAAGGCCTCGGAGAGGGCCCTGGGGCTGCCCCCCGGCGCCGGGGCGCGGGCACCCACCTCGCCGCGGCTCAAGCCTTGGCTGCAGCCGCCGCAGCTGCAGCGGCCCGGCTCTGGGCTGTGCCCTTCCTTCCCAACACACTCTCTCCAAGTGACGTGGCGAGGCCCCGCCTGCCGCCCCCTCCCACCCCACTCCCGCATAGCACCCCTCGCCTGGCCGGGGCTGCCGCGAGCCAGGGCGCTGGGCGCGCACACGCACTCGCCGCGCGGGCAGCCTTTCCCGCGCTCTCCCGGCCCGCCTCTCGCTCTCGCCTGTTTACGTTCGTGGCCCCCAGGAACGAGCGCCCGCACCCTCCTACCACACCCCCTCCACCCCCGCAGTCATCTTGCCTCATTTCGCTTTACCGAGTTGACCTGCGCAGTGTCTTTCATCCCTAAGAAAACACACCCGCCCCTCTGCACGGGGACAGAGCACGGTGCCTCGGCTCATCCAGAAATTTAATGAAACAATTAAATCATATTGGTCCCTCTGCAATTACGAAGACCCATTTGCCAGCCGCACCGATCTCGATTAGAAAGAAAAAAACATGAAATATTGTTGCGATGTCTCGAAAGCTTCCAATTTAAATTGTATTTCCATCGGTTCCAAGCCCAGAGACTCGGCCCTTGCAAACCTAGGTGCAGGGGACAGCCCCACTGCTAGGGTGAGGTGGGAGGCGCCTCCAGGTCTTTCCCATCGCGAGGGGCCTGGGAATGGGGAGCAAGGACCCCAGAAGAAAAACCTGACAGATGAGGGCATCCCAGAGGACTCCCAGCCCAGGGAGAGCCACTGGGGATGGCTTGGCGCCACCACCACCGCCCCCAATGCTGGGAATTCAGCTGGTGCATGGGAAGAGGGCTTGTGAGAGTGTAGGTGAATGCAACCCTACCTTTCCTGCATCTGTCTGTCTGGTTCCTGACCAGAAACGTGGCCCCTGCTCCTCCACCTCACCACAGTGCAAACCTTTGTGGCCATGCTTGGGGCCAGGGACCACCTGACTCTCCCTAATGCCCCAGCAAGAAGAGAATGGTTTTGCATCCACTTCTGCCAGAGATCAGATACTCCTTCTTCACTAGGTCAGCCAGATGGAACAGGGTTCCTCTTGTGTCTTCAGACTGCCGCTTCCTGGGATGGTGGATGTTCCCTTCTCAGAGCTCCAGTGTCCCCCCTGGCTGGCCAAAATGAATTGGCTGAGAGTGTCAAGGTGGTGTGTGTGTGTGTGTCCTGTGCATTAGTAAGAGTTCATTGAGGACAATAACAAGTACGATACATCCAAGGCACTCTCAAACCACAAGATGCATAGGAGTTATTGGTCTTACAGAAGGTGGTTCTCGCCGGCACCGCGGCTCACTAGGCTAATCCTCCGCCTTGCGGCGCCGGCACACCGGGTTCTAGTCCCGGTCGGGGCACCAGATTCTGTCCCGGTTGCCCCTCTTCCAGGCCAGCTCTCTGCTGTGGCCCGGGAGTGCAGTGGAGGATGGCCCAAGTGCTTGGGCCCTGCACCCCATGGGAGACCAGGAGAAGTACCTGGCTCCTGCCATCGGATCAGCGCGGTGCGCCGGCTGCAGCGCACCGGCCGTGGCGGCCATTGGAGGGTAACCCAATGGCAAAGGAAGACCTTTCTCTCTGTCTGTCTCTTTCACTGTCCACTCTGCCTGTCAAAATAAATAAATAAAGAAAGAAAGAAGGTGGTTCTCAGCAGTGTTTGCTCCCAGAGAGGCTGAGGGAGAAGGAATTGAAGTTTCCCGGATGGTGGGGGGGTGGGGGGTGTTGAAAAGAGATGCTAGCAGTGGAGCTGGCTGGGTAGTCAGTCTCTCACCAAGCCTACCAGGCGAGAGGCAGCCTCTGCTTCCTGCTGGGCTTGTACTCACCTCCCACCTTGCATGTTGCAATGAAGTATGGATTGACCCAGTTAGCTGATAGTTCCCCAATTACAGGCTATGTAATTAAGCAATTTAGACTTGCTGCAAAAGTTGCTCCATTCAAAAAAAAAAAAAAAAAGACAAAAAGGGAAAGCAACAACAACTGATAAAATATAGGAAGTTTTTCCCCCCCTCATCCAATTATCTATAATTACTTTCTGGGTTGTAAACTGATTTACCCATGACTCTCTTTGTTTTCAAATTTTAGAATGAATTACTCATTTCCATATTCATTTGTGTCATGCCGGGGCTCATGCATGAGGTTCTCAACTAGGTCAGTGACTCCTCAAAAGAAAGCTTGGAGAGGCACAGGAGGGAACCCACGTTCTGCCAGAGGGTGCACAGCCAAGTGCGGCAGAGGGAACCTCTGCTTGCACACTCCCGGCCACGTCCTGGCTGCCACATCCCATCAGAATGATGTTCTGGGGCTGCCTTCGCATCAGCCACAGGCTCTGCCCCTACAGAGGTTTCCCTGTGCCCCGAGGAGCTTTCCCAGGGAGGCAAAAGCCATTAGCAAATTTATGAATCAGAGTTCTGTTTTTAGTTCTTTTTGTGAAATAGATTCTTTTCCTAGCTTAAGAAAAACTCTATGCCTAGACCATCCCTCCGAAGCACGCATGAGGCGTGAAGAAAATCACACGTTCAAAAGAGCCAGATCCCAAGTGCAGGACGAGAATCTGCTCTGAAAAGCTTGCATGTTCATGCAATAAATATATGACATCCTAGGTAAAAAAAAAATTGTAATAGTAGAAAATAAAGTGTATATGTGTGAATTGCAGTAAATGTTTTGCCGAGAACAACTGGGATGTTATGCCAGAGATGAAGCTGGGGGTGGGGAGAACAGGATGGCATTTGGCTCCGTGGCTAAGCACTGCTCATATCAGGTGCCCTCCGTTGGTGTCCTGGCCCCGCCCCTAATTTCAGTTTCCTGTTAATGTGCATCTTGGGAGGCTGCAGGTGCTGTGGCTCAAATAGCTGGGTCCCTGCCACCCATGGAGGAGACCTGGATTGAATTCCCAGACCTTGGCTTTGGCCCGTCCAGTCCTGAACATTCATATTCTCTAGTTCTCTCTGAAAGAGGTAGTTTTCAGCTGAGACTTCAAAGGTGAGAACGGGCCAGCGATGCCAAAACACACAGAAGAGCATTCCGGGCAGGCAAGTCCCAGAGCCCGGAACGAGGCCTGGGTTGTTCAGGCCTCATAAAGAAGGAGTCATGCGGACAAGCCAGGGAAAAGCAGAAGACCATGCTGAAGCAGAAGCACAGGCTGAGATGGGTGGGGTGAGAGGCTCAGGTTCTCCCTTAAGGGAGACAGAGGAGAGAAAAGATGTGACTGGCAGAGAGGCTGCGAGGAGAGCTACAGAGGGGCAAAAGAAGAAATGGGAAAACTAAGAAACCGCAGTAGTCTGGGGAAAGGCTATGGTGACTTGGACTGGGGGTAAAAGAAGTGGAAAGACTGGTCACAGAGTAGAGAAGAGGCAGGGGAGAGGTGAGTGTGGGAGACGGCACCAGCAGGAATTGGCGATCAGTATTACATAGGAAACAAGCCATGGATGCCAGAGTTTTGTTCCAGCAACCACGTGGGGAGTGGTGGTGACGCTGACTGAGGAAGGGGAAGATGCGGGGTTAAACAAGCTGAGATCAATCAAGACCTCATTTATATACATATGGATGATTTGAGAGGCAGATTTGATATGTAAATGAAGATGCAAAGGAAGCAGCTGCTTATTCAGGTCTGGAATATGGAGGAGAAACGCGTGATTTATGAATTAAAAACACTTAGAAATATTTAAATCTGTGACAGCAAAGTCTTCTAGAGATAGAATATGGAAAGTGAAGAGAAATGTAACCAGGACCAAGTTTTTCTTTTAAGCACCCTGCAATTTACCACTCGTGGTCAGGAGCAAGAGGGGCCAACAAGAGAGATGGAGGGGCTGCCAGGGAGACAGAAGGAAGGCCGGGAGGAAGAGTTGTCCTGGAAACCCCCCTGGGACCAGACCCCAGGGACGCCCATCCTCCGGGGCCCATGCTGGCCGCCCAGCTGAACCCATGGTCCACACTGGGTCCGGAGCCACCTGCAAGGCCATGGGCACACTAGCAAGATGGACGCCTAGGGTGACGCAGTACAAAACTTGATAACCAGGTATAGTCTTAACTCATCCCAGATGCTAACATGTACTCTTCCTGGGTGTACACACCGACATTCTACTGTACCTTCAAGGCTCCTTCGAGGCATTTTTACTTTGCTATCCGTGTAAACCTGTATGCATGTGTGTTCGTGGGGGGGGTGTCACTATCTGGGAAGTAGGATCCCTGTAGTTTTCTTCTGGGGAGGGAGGGAGGATGGAGGTCATAGACCCTCGTACAGGGGCACACACATGCACAAGTACACAAACATCCGCCCTCAGAAGCATCATCCCACAGTGGAGTTCTCCAGTGGACTTCAGCCACTCAGAACCGCTGGAAGTAGGGTCCCTCACCTTCCTGTCTCCCTGCCGAACGAGTCCCGCTGCCCTGCCGCACCAGTTCTTCAGGCTGTCCCATGCAGAAGCTCCTCCAGCCAAAGCAGTGGCCCATGTGATTCAGCCCTCATCTTGTTATGTCAGGCATCCCTTTCTCCAGGGCCCGGGTCATTTTCACTCCTTAAAACCTCCCCTGCTCTCTGTGCTGGGGAGATAAGAGAAAGCAGCTCTGAATCCCGGGTGATGTGGGGAGAATAGCGGGGGATTGGGGGATTCTGGACTTTGCAGCCAATTTTTGCTGTTTCCATTTTTGTTCCTCTCCTTCTAGACACACACACACACACACACATGCACACGCACATACACATCCCCACTCACATACACACACACACACATATCCATGCATGCACACATACACACAAGTACACACATTCAGATACACACACATTCACACACACATATGCACCCCCACTCACATCCACATGCATGCATACACATGCACACACATGTACACACATTCAGATACACACACACGTACACACACGCACACACGTACACACACGCACACACATACACACGTAGACACACACACACACACATTTGGTCATCTAAGAACTACACTTAAAACGGCTAATTTCTTGCCAGTACTAACCCACTGGTGTTCATTGAGGTCCCTACCCACACTTGGAAACCCCCGTATATTTAATCTTTGTGAGCACCGTGACCATTTTCCTCCTCCTTAGGATTTCTCTGTGACCAAGTAGACAGGGGAAGGACAAACGTGCAGAGCGTTCCTATAGACAAGCACCATTTATAATTAGCCGCTTTATCAAAGCATCTAACGATGAGGATGATGATGTCAGTTACACCGTGGTGGTGGTGACGATGATATTCCCAAATTCACTAGAGAAAAATCTAACAGCTTTCACTTGAGTGAAGCTGC